GGGGGGGGGGCGGGGGGGGGCGAGGGGGGAGGGGGCGGGCCGGACGGGGGCGGGGGCCCGAGTCTCTAAAGGCAACGTCGCGGGAGCGCAGCATCGGTGTGGCGCAGGGAGGTCCTGAACGCGCACGGTAGTCCCCGGGTTTGCCAAGGGACCCCTGAACGCTGGAGCGGTGCGGTCCACGGGCGGTTGCAGCCTGGAGGGCCGCCTCGTTTCCGTCCCCTGGCCTGAAAACCGTGGCTGTGTCCTGGCATTTCCCGTGTCCTGACATGGCTTCGCCCCCTCCTGAACAAAGTTTACCGTTATCCGCGCTCTGGGTGACCTCTCGCAGAGGAGGAGGCTGCTGCCCTGAGACGCCGGCTTAGCGAGTGAAGGTTCAAAGTGCTTGGCTAATGATTTCCACTCATTCGGGGGCACGGCCTGATTCTGATCATCATCAGTAAACATGTACCCTGGTACCCTGCGGTTTCTGAGGAAGGGGTGGTTTCGTGGGTCCGTGCGTGGGTGTGTGTATCACAGCTGGCAGTTCATTTTTATCAGGTGCTAAATGTAGTTTATCATGTTATCAGTGAGATTCAATTGTTCTGAAAAGAAAGAATTTTAGTGTGGTGGTTCTTTTTTAAAAAAAAGTCATTTTCAAGGTTTTTTTGGTTTAACTCGCTGACTTTTATCCATCTTGTCTGTAAAGTCCTACCTGAATAGGGGCATGGATGCTTGAGGAAATGAGACCTTGCCTGTAGTCTGCCCAGCACTGAGATCTTCCTCTGATGGGGGGGGGGGGGGGGGCTGGTGATAGGGGGAATCCTTTGGGTCTGTCATTTATCTTTTAAGCACCAGGCAAAACCCATGTTATTTTAACCCCTGATACATTTGCGTTCCTACTGTTTCATTAACGTCTAATTCCCATGCATTTAAAGTATAACAAACTGTTGTGCGAGTTTGGAATTGAAGGTCTATATAAAAATATTCAAAATCTACTAACATGGTTGGTGGCTGTTTGGTTATACGTGCTGAGCCGTAGTGCTCTTCCTGTGTAGTCATTTAAAAAGCTGTCCTCAGCTTGAGCTTGGACATGGTTTTCAGGGTTCCGCTGCATCCAGTGTATGAAGAAGAAAGCCAGATTACATGCAGGGTTGTGGTAGGGTAAAAGGTAGTACAGTGATTTGCAGAACGTTGTGAGCTTATAACTGTTAGGTAGTGAGCAGAGGAGAACTGCAGTTTTTAATAGAGTCCAGGTACAGTATAGCACAATTCTTTGATATTTGGGCCGTGATGAGCACTGCGTGTCTTGTAAAAGTGTATGTGCAGTGAAGTGCCACCTGAATGGTTTTTGGTACGTAGATGTGTGTGGAAGGTGAAGGCCTCCTCTGCAAGGAGGAAATGACCAGGGATTCTCCTGAACTGAAGAGGCTTTGGCTCTCATTGACTGAGACAGAAGATAGCTTGGGAAGCCCCTGGGTGCGAGGGGCATGGCCAGCATCAAAGGAAGGCATGTTTAACTTCTTTCCAAATTTCACTGGAGGCACCTGGCAAGGAGCAGAGGGCCACAGGAGAACAGTTTCTTTCTGCCTCTTAGGCTGATGAGCTTCAGTACACAATCCACAAATATGGCACGAGCCAGGAGGGACTAAAACATGCAGGGGTATGCATTTTTTAAAAGTTCAGTCAAGTAAATCTATTTTAAGAGTGAACTGGGCAACAAGGATGTTAAACCAGGGAGAATCAAAACTGGCTTGCCTAATGGGGAAGGTCAGTTTGGGTTGGTATGGGTGGGCTTTCTATAACCCACAGCCCCAGAAGTGAGGGTGTTTGGAGCTGGCAAGGAGAAGGTCTTCCAGATATATAAATTTATTATTTATTAAACTTGTATGGTATATATGTAAGCCCTGAACTATGGCAGCCTTCCTGGTTGCTGTTTGAATGTGGGGCTTTTAACAAGCCAAGAGTGGAGCTCCAGGACCGAGGCAAATTCCTCCCACCGCTCGTTTTATTAGTTCACTTGGCTTTTCTCTAAAAGTGTCTCTTGCCCTAGAAGAGCTTTAGAGTTTTATTTCTGCTGATGGACTGGTAAGATTGCATTTGCAGTCTGTGGATGATGTTGGTCAGCTAGTTTGTTTAGATGTTAAAGAACATGAGAGATAATTGACTCCCAAACCATAAATCCTGGGATAATAAGAGCCCCCTTTTCCATTTCCTGGAAATAGGGATCCTGTAATCCATTCCCCTTTCCAAGAGAATCAT